CTGAAATTAAAAACAAACAAATCCCAAACCAAACCAAACACACACACACACAAACCTCATTAGTGGTTTCAACAGCAGAATGGACAGGAAGAAGAAAGAATCAGTGAACTGGAAGATAGAACAATAGAAATAGAAGTTTATCAGTCTGAACAAGAGACAGAAAATAGGATGACAATGATGACAAAAACGAAAACCAGAGACTCAGGGATCTGTGGGTGCTGTAATAAGAAATCTACAACCAGAGACTCAGGGATCTGTGGGGAACATAATCAGGAAATCTATAATAAGAGACTCAGGGATCTTGGGGGGATGTAATAAAAAATCTGTAACCAGAGACTCAGGGATCTGTAGGGCCGTAATAAGAAATCTATAACCGGAGACTCACGGATCTGTGGGGCTGTAATAAGGAAATCTAACACTTGTGGCATCAGATTCCTGAAAGGAGCAGAGGAAAAGGGTGGGGTTGCAAAGTAGTTGAAAACTTTGTGGCTGAAAACTTTACACATGTTCCCAAAGACATAAATCCACAGATTCTAACACCCAAGTGAACCCCCACAACAGGATTAGACCAAAGAACTTCCTACAAGACACATCATAGTAAAATGCATAAAAACTCATGACAGACAAAAGCCATGATTGAATGGAGCAAGAGAGAAATGACACCTTCCTCACAGAGGAACAATAATTGACATGGGAGTGGATTTGTCATTGGAAGCTGCAAAGATCAGAACAAAGTGGCACAACATTTTTAGTGCTGAAAGAAACGAACTGTCAACCCAGGTTGACATTCTCAGAAGAAGAAAAGCGAAGAGGCTTTGCCACCAACAAACCTACTACCAGAAGTTCTCTAAACAAAAAGGGAATGAGAAGGGCTATTGGCACATCAGTGTTACAGACTGAATTATGTCCCCTCAGGAAGCTACGCTTAAGTCTGATATGGTTTGGCTCTGTGCATCCCCCCAAATCTCATGTCGAATTCTAATCCCCAATGTTGGAGGAGGATGACACCTTCCCAAGATGGAGGTGATTGGGTCCCGGGGGGACTTTCCTTTTGCTTTTCTCACGATAGTGAGTGAGCTCTCAGGAGATCTGGCTGTTTAGACATGTGTGGCACCTCCCCCTTCATGCTCTCTCTCCTGTTGGCCATGTGAAGACATGCTTGCTTTCCTTTCACCTCTGCCATGATTGTAAGTTTCCCAAGGCCTCCCAGCCATGCTTCCTGTATAGCCTGTGGAACCAAGAGGCAATTAAACCTCTTTTCTTTATAAATTACCCAGTCCCAGGTATTTCTTTATAGCAGTCGGAGAATGGACAGATACAAAGCCCTAGCTCGTCCTATGTGTGAATGTGACTTTATTTGGAAATAGGGTCTTCACAGATGAAATAAGGTCATACTGAGTAGAGTGGGTGTTAAATCCCATATGATTGCTGCTATGGTTAGAAGAAAGTGATTTGGAAACTGGCAGACAGGGAGGACACCAGGTGACAACAGAAGCTAAGATTGGCATCACCAAGGCATGCCAGGGATCGATACCCAACACCAAAAGTCAGGCGGGGGCCAGGAGGAATTCTCGCCTATGGGCTTCAGGGAAGATGTGTCTTCCTGGCACCTTGACTTTGGACTTCTGGCTTCTACATCTAAGAGACAATGCACTTCTCCTGTTTTGAGCCATCCAGTTTGGTGCTTTGTTATGAAGCCTAGATAACTAATATGACCCTGAAGGAAGAAAAATACAGCAGCAAAAAAATACGATCATTTTTAGCTCATAAGCATGACGATTGGACACTCATGCACACGTGTGAGATGTGTCACCCTCCAACCTTGTGACGTTAGCACATTATTTATCTGACATGAACTTAAAAAAAATGAATAAATACTCATTGATGGTTAAAGTGGTTCTGATGTGGTTCTAAATATCTGTTGGGATGATATCTAAGACAGCTCTGTTATATATTGGGAAGGCAATATAGAACCGAGAAGGAGATAAGGTTTCTACATTGTAATCAAACTGGTCATGTGATGATGTCGCTAGACTGTGATTTTATATATTCTATACTGTATTATTATTTATATATAATTTATATGTATATAGATTGTAATATCTAGAGCAATCACTATAAAAAGATGAAAGAAAAACACAAATATACAAAAATAAGCCAAAAGACAATGTTAAAAATTGCTTCTTGCCATAGAATGTAGAAAAAAATAAGGAAATGAAAAGCAGAGCAAAAAAAATAAAAGAACCAGAAAACAAAAAAACAAAATGTTGTACTTAATCTCTAGCATAACAATAATGACATAAAATGTAAGGAGACTAACACACTAATTAAGAAACAGATATTTGAAAAATAGATTTTAAAACATGGCCCAATTTTATGCAATTTACAAAATGCTTACTTCAAATATCATGACATATACGGGTTGAAAGTCAAAGGATGGGAAAAGAAATGTCATGCAAACATTAATCAAAAGAAAGCAGGAGTTGCTATATTGATATTAAGAGCAGGTAAAATTACCAAATACAGAAAGGAACTTTATACAGTGATGTTTAAAATGTTAACCTCAAAACAATATATACCAATACTAATTGTGTATGCTAATTGTGCACCAAATACCAGACCTGCACAGATGTGAAGCAGAAACTAATAGAGGTGAAGGGACAAATAGAGGAATCTCAAAGTATAAGTCTTAGAACTTGAGGCCCCTCTCCCAACAGTTTTTAGAACAACCACACAGAAAATCATCAAGGACACAGAACTGACCTGTGCCATCAACCAGCTGTATCTAAGTGGTCATTCTAGAACACTCCACATTTCAACGACAGAACACACACTCTTAACTGCACATGAAACATTCTCCAGGAAGATCACACACTGACATGTAAGAAACCTGACTAAAGTTAAAAGTAATGAAAGCACACAAGTGTCTTCTGTGACTACAGTGGAATTACTAGGCATCATCAGCAGAAGGACATATGGGTTATTAATCACTATGTATCAATTAAGCAACAAAAAATCAGGAAGTAAATTAGTTTTCTAATTTTGAGATGAAGAAAAAATCACAACATACAAAAATTGAATGTAATTATCTAATGTAGTCAAAGCATTACTAAGAGGGAAATTTATAGCTCTAAATGCATATGTCTAAAACATAAGAAGGATATTAAGTCAATGCTCTAACACTCTAGGAACCTAGAAAAAGAAGAACTAACCCAAAGAGACAAAAGAATGAAATCATAGGGTTGTGTGTAAATTCATGATATAGAGACTAGAAAATAATATAAAGAGAAGGAAATAAAACACCAAACGGTTATTTAAAAATGTTTTAAAAACTGACAAACCTACAGGTGACTCAAGAAAAAAAGGAAATCTGAACATATCACAAAAAAGAGATTAAAATAGTAATTATGAAATTCCCACAAACTAAAACTCAGGACCTGACTGCTTCATGCCTACATTTACCAAACATATAAAGATGAACTCACACGAATCTTTCAGAACTGTTACCAAATAACAGAGAAGAAGGGACGCTCCTCCACGCATTGCATGAGGCCAATATTACTGAAATACCAAAGTCATACAAAGACCTCACAGGAAAACTACAAACGAATATCTCTTAAGAATATGGATGCGAAAACTCTCGATTAAATATCAGAACACTGAATCTAGCAGTATGCATAAGGAATTACACACCATGACTAAGTAGGGCTTATCTCAGAAATGCAAGATTTGTTTAATATTCAGAAGTAAATCAATGTAATGCGTCGTATTAACAGAATAAATGACAAATGCATAATATCAATAGATGCACAAAAAGCATTTAACAGAATCCCACATTCTTTCATGACAGACAATGAACCAACTAGAAATAAATTCAAACTTCAATAACTTTTTAATGATATCTACAAAAACCAACAGCTAACATCACACTTAATGGTGAAACACAGAAGCTTCCCCCTTAGAGCAACCACAAGACAAGATTGCCTGCTTTCGCCAATTTTATTTGATATTGTACTAGAGCAGCGGTCTGTCCCCAACCCCTGTTCTGGTCCATGGCCTGTTGGGACCCAGGGCACACAGCAGGAGGTGAGCAGCTGGTGAGTGAGTGAAGCTTCATCTGTATTTATAGCTGCTCCTCAGTGCTCCCATTACTGCCCGAGCTCCACCTCCTGTCAGATCAGCAACTGGATTAGATTCTCATAGGAGTGGGAACCCTATCATGAACTGTGCATGCGAGAGATCTAGGTGGCGCATTCCTTATGAGAATCTAATGCCTGATGATCTGTCACTGTCTCCCATCACCCCCAGATGGGACCCTCTAGTTGCAGGAAAACAAGTTCAGGGCTCCTACGGAGTCCACATTATGGTGAGTTGTATAATTTTTTCATTATATATTACAATATATAATAACAATAAAGTGCACAACAAATGCAATGTGCTTGAATCATCCCAAAACCACTCCTTCCACCCCCAGTTCATGGAAAAATTGTCTTTTACAAAACCGGTCCCTGGTGCCAAAAAGGTTGGGTACCACTGTACTAGAGGTTCTCACCAGGAAAACTGGACAAGAACATTAGGAAGAAGGCATCAATATTACAAAGGAAGAAGTAACATTTTCTCTATTTGTAGATGACATGATCTTGTATGCAGACAGTCTTCAGGATTCACAAACACACACAAAGCTACTATAGCTAATATACAAGTTCAGCAAGTTTTCAGGTTACAAGAGCAAAACATAAAAATCAATTGGATTTCTGTACTTCAGAAATAAAAATTCAAAATAAAATTAAGAAAAATTTTTGTTTTATGCTCACAAAGCATAAAATCTCTTGGAATACATTTTATAAAAGAGGCACAAATTTTATATACTGAAAAACACAAAACATTGTTAAGAACTAAAGAAAAAATAAATGGAAAGACAGATCATTCATTAGAAGACATTTTTTAAAATGGTGCTATTTCTCCAAATGAATCCACAGGAAATGAAATCCCTTTCAAAATTCCAATGACCTTTTTTTTCACAAATTAACAAGTGGATCCTAAAGTTTATTTCAAAGTGCAAATGACCCTCAATAAAATACAAAGCAACACTGAGAAAGAACAAATTCAGGGGACTGTCTTAGTTTAGGCTTCTATAACAGAGTACCATAGACTTGGTGGCTTATCAATGACAGAAACTTATTTCTCTCAATTCTGGAGGTGTGAACTCTGAGATCAGGGTGTCCATATGGTCAGGCTCTGGCAAGGACCTTCCAGGCTGCAGGCTCCTCTTCTCGTATTCCCACCTGGAGGAGAGGCAGGCAGGGAGCTCTCTGCGTCACTTTTCAAAGGGCATTAATCCCACCCCTAGGGCTCTGCCCTCCTGAGCTCATCACCTCCATAGATCCCACCTGCTGGCACTACCACGTTAGGGGTTACAATCTCAACACAGGAATTTGAGGGACACGAACCCCTCAAACACCCGAATGGGCCATTGCAAGGACTCCCATTTGCTGGTTCCAAAGCTGACTCCAAAGCTCCAGTCATCTCTGTAATCCCAGCACTTTGGGAGGCTGAGGCGGGTGGATCACAAGGTCAGGAAATCGAGACCATTCTGGCTAACACCGTGAAACCCCATCTCAACTAAAAATACAAAAGCAAAATTAGCCAGGCGTGGTGGCAGGCGCCTGTAGTCCCAGCTACTCGCGAGGCTGAGGTGGGAGAATGGCATGAACCCAGGAGGCAGAGGTTGCAGTAAGCCCAGATCGCACCACTGCACTCCATCCTGGGGGACAGAGAGACACTCCGTCTCAAAAAAAAAAAAAAAAAAAAAAAAAAAAGGCTCCTGTCATCAGGACACATATTGTCATAGGAACAAACACGCAGATCAGTGGAATCAAGTGTGTGGTCCAGAATAACTCCTCACCTTTCCGGCAAATTGATTTTCAAGAAGGGGTCCAAGAAAGTCCAGTGGTGGAAAGAATGGGATAACTGGATAGCCACATGCAAAAGAGTGAGATTGGTTACTCATGCACCCTAGACACAGAAAGTAACTCATAATAACTCACAGGCGTAAACGTAAGAGATGAAAATATACAACTCTTAACAGAACATATCCACGAAACTTCATGGCTTTGCTTTAGGCAATGGCTTCTTAGACATGTCATTAAAAGCACAAGCAACAAAAGAAAAAAAAGACAGGCCGGGCGCGGTGGCTCAAGCCTGTAATCCCAGGGAGGCGGAGACGGGCAGATCACAAGGTCAGGAGATCGAGACCATCCTGGCTAACCTGGTGAAACCCCGTCTCTACTAAAAAATACAAAAAACTAGCCGGGCGAGGTGGCGGGCGCCTGTAGTCCCAGCTACTCGGGAGGCTGAGGCAGGAGAATGGCGTAAACCCGGGAGGCGGAGCTTGCAGTGAGCTGAGATCCGGCCACTGCGCTCCAGCCTGGGTGACAGAGCAAGACTCTGTCTGAAAAAAAAAAAAAAAAAGAAAAGACGTTATATTTATTTAAAAATAATAAACTTTTTGTTTCAAAGGACATTTAAAAAGTGAAAAGAAAACTTACAGAATGGGAGAAAATATTTGCAAATCATATATCTAAGATAATTGTAACTTGAATATTTTAAAAACTCTGACAACAATAAAATATAAATAATTCTATAGTAGTCAAAATACCGCATTTCTCCAAAAATGATTTACAAGTGGCCAATAAGCACACTGAAAAATTATCAACATTGATAGTTACTGGGGATATGAGAATCAAAACCACAAGACACCATTTCACACCCCCTAAAACGACCATCATCTGAGAGACAGAAATAAGAAGCGTCAGGTAGGTGTGAGGAACGGAGCTCTCCTCCACTGCCTGTGGGAATGTGAGATGCTGATGTGGCAAACAGTTTGACCTCAACGTTCACAGTCAGAGTCACCGAAGCCTAGTATTAACGTGAGTCAACAATTCAAATTTTTATAAAATATTTTTGCAGTTTATTTGGCACATCAAGTAAAACTTTAAAAATTAATTAATATCAATCATAAGGTTGTTAAAATAGAACCATTTGTAGTGCCCAGAACAAAGGAGTTACTTGCACTTTTAATAACAATGCATAAAAAACCGCTTCAGGAAATGCGAGTGTTTATCTCACAAGTGAAATCAGGTATGGCTTCTCAACCATCCCCACAGCCCATCAATAGTTCCAGCAGTGGCTAGTTTCTGAACGCTTGAAGCAAGACTGGCTAATTTATAAAGAAAAGAGGCTTCATTGCCTCACCGTTCTGCAGGCTGTAGAGGAAACATAGCGGCTTCTGCTTCTGGGGCGGCCTCAGGAAACTCCCATTCATGGCGGAAGGTGAATGGGACAGGTGGTCACGTGGCCAGAGAGCGCAAGCCGCATGCTTGTAAAAACCAAGTCTCGCGAGAACTCACTACCAAGAGCACTGCACCGAGGGCACGATGCTAAACCGTCCATGAAAAATCCACTTCCACGATCCCCTCACCTCCTCCCAGGGACACAGAACCAAACTACATCACAAGCAAATTGATGTTGGGCTTGTGCGGTGAACGCACGTGGTCACAGCTGAGTCAGGTGTTTGCATGAGGATTGAAAACCGTTTTCCTCTGCAGTAGCCTCCCTACTGACTTAACTACATGGGGGCTCCTGTGTGCTGAGTCCCTGGCGGGTTCGAGTTTGGGCCACGCCGTGTTCTCTAGAGACAGCGCGTGTGTGCGGCAAGTGGTCACTCACACCCAGGACCTGCTTCACCAGCAGGTTCAGCTCAGCTTTGATCCTCATATGATGGTTATTTTGCAATATTAGGAAAAAAGAGTTTCTGTAGTGATTTTTTCTCTTCCAATCTAGATAAACACCAGGCTACTATAAATGTGATGGAATTTTAAACACCAGGGAAAAAGAACCAGCTACTTGGGGGTTTCTCTTTTCCTCCAGGCACATGGAGCCATTCTTATCCTGAAATCTGAGATCCTTTCAGATACTCCCAGAGTAAAAGTAAAAGGAACCATTGTACCAACAGCTAAGATGAACATCGCCTGGGTATTTAACACTTAAGTTCTTACTAAAAGTGGTCTTCCTGTAAATCTGAAATGCATTTAGTATTGCAGAAATAATCACATTGTTGAACTTTGAAGAACAAAAATTTTTGAGTTTTTGAAATACAACATTAACAGGTTTAAAATGTTCTATGGTTCTTGTCTTTCACTGTCACTCTGTCTCCATATTCTGATGCTTTGACATGTTATGGTTGTGACGCAGGGAAGGTAAGCCTCAAAATTGGGGCTTAGCTCAGAAACGTTCTTGGCTTTGCCCAGGAAAGAATTCCAGGGTGGCCCGTGGTGGCAGGTGGTGGCTGTGCACAGCAGCAGCAGAGGTCCTGCTTGCTCCTCATGGAGCAAGGCTACCCCATGGGCAGTGCACCCAGAGCAGCAGCTCAGAGGCATCTCTGCACTCCTATTTATACCCACTTTTAATTACCTGCAAATCAAGGAGCAGTTTATGCAGAACTTCCTAGAAAAGAAGTGGTAACTTCTGGGTCTTTGGGTTGTTGCCATGTAAAGGGGCATGGCAGGTGTTGCCATGGCAATTGTAAAGTGACATGGCTCTGGAGGGTGTGTCTAAGGGAGACTTTTGTCTCTTCCCTGCTTTAGCTAGTCCTCAATCTGGTCCAGGGTTCAAGCCCCCCTTCCAGAGTCAAGTCAGGCCTACTACCTCAGTTGCAAGACTCTCTCTTCTCTTCGCTCCTCTCCTCTCCTTCTCAATCTCTTTCTCTCTCTCTCTCTCCCCCCTACTAATTAAAGATTATGAATGGTTTGAAAACACTCTTTTCTTTAAGGAAGAGGACAGAGGACTCTAGCTGTAAATGTCTATGTACCCAAGAGTGAAATGTTCACCTATTTTCCTAATATTGTTTAAATTAACACCTTTAATTTCACAAATGCATGCGCTCCTGTGATTACCTCACCAATAAGGCAATTCAGTACACTCCTCCCCCTAAAAAGTGGCCCCACCCTGTGCATGCTGCCCCCACGCATGGCCCCCAACTCAGGACAGTCACTGCCCTGGCCTCCCCCTCCTTAGCAGGCTGCTCCTGCTGTTGAACATGCTGGAATCTTCTGTTAGGTCCTCTTTTGAATGTGGGTTCTGTCACTCTACCCAATGATTTTGATATTTCTGCACTTTTTGGGGTTACTTGTTCCTATTTTCTGAGCACTGTTCTCTTGTATAAATACATCACGATCTGTGTATCTCTTCTCCAGCTGAAGAGCGTTGGTGTGGTTTTCAGTGTGGGATGTTAGAAATAAAGCTGCTCTGAGCACCGCTCCACAGGTCTCGTGCACACGTATGCTTTCATGTCTCTTGTATGAATACGTCGCGACTTGTGTGTCTCTTCTCCAGGTGAGGAGCGTTGGTGTGGTTTTCAGTGTGGGATGTTAGGAATGAAGCTGCTCTGAGCACCGCTCCACAGGTCTCGTGCGCACTTACGCTTTTGTGTCTCCTGGGTAGATACTTGGAAATGGCCTTGCTGGGTAATTCAGTGGGTTAATGGTAAATATTTTAAGAAACTGCTGAAGTGTTTTATGAGGTTTTTTTTGCATTTCCACCAGCAGCGTATGAGAGTTTTCAGTGGCTGGTATCATCTCACCCCTGGTTTGATTAGTCATCTTAGACATTCCAGTAGACCTACTGGGGCATCTGGTTTTAATTCTCTTTTGTAGTCCCCTTGTCAGGACTATTTCATGGCTCATTCTGCCTGTATTTATCTTTTTTGGAAAAGAGTTTGTGCAACACTTACGGTGTTTTCACCACACTGGGTTGTTGGGTTTTTTGCTTTGGAATTATTGAGTGCTGGGAGTTCTCTGTATATTCAGATATGTGAGTTGCAGATAAAGATATTTTCGCTCAGCGTGTTGCTCACCTTTTTATGTCTTTTGCAGAGCAAGTTCCTGTTTTGATGAAAATGAATGTATCATTTTATAAAGAAATTATCCTCTGTGGTAGCATAGATAAAATACTTCTTATAACTCAAAGTTGCAACAGTTTTCTCCTGTGTCTTCTGCCATATGTTTTCTATATTTAACTTCATGATTCATCTTGAAGAAAGAAATTATACAGTGTGTGGCATGGAACAAAGTCCTTTTTCTAATATCCAATTTTTTTAGCATAGTTTTTAGAAAATAGTTATTTTTTCACTCAACTCTTTGCAAAAAAAAGTGTGTGTGTGTTTGTGTGTGTGTTTAATTAAGAATGGATGTTGGATACTGGAAAGGCAGTTGGCCACATACGACTAGCCGACATCTGGCCTCCTGCCCCAAAGGTCCACGTCCCTGTCTTCGCCCAGTGCTAGGCTCTTCAGTGTGCTTCAGCTTCGCAGGACATAGTTGTCAGGTGGTACAGCCAGGTGTATGTCTTCTTCTCCAACAGGTAGTTTCACTATTCCTGGTCCTTTGAGCTTCACTGTGAACTTTACAATGTTTGTCAATTTCTACAAAAAAAATGGCTTCTGAGAGTTTGACTGGGATTGCATTGAATGGAGAGGTTGATGTGGGGAGAGCTGACATCTTGGCCATGTGGGCTCTTCAAATCCCTGGAGACAGAACATGTCTTGACTGAGTTAGGTCTTCTTTAATAGATGTGCATTTTAGTATTTGCTATGCACACTTTGCACAGTTTTTGTCAGATTTAACTCTTAAGTGTATTTTATTTTGTCATGTTTTTGTAAATGGATTTCTAAATTTTATTTTATAACATTCCTTGCTAATAAAATACATACAATTTTACTTTGGCATTCTGACAGTATATTCTGAAAGCTTGCTAAAACTACATATTTGTTCAATCCAGTTTTTAGATTCTACAACATTGTCCACATATCTGATCATGTTGTTGTGAATAAAGACCATTTTGCTTCTCCCTTTCTGATATGGATTTCTTTTGTTTCTTTTTCTTTCCATATGCTGTGGCTAGAATATCTGTCGTGATAGATAGTAGACTTGGTAAGCACAGGTATCCTCACCTTGTTCCTGAGCATGAGGGTGCAGCCAGTGTTCCACTGTTGAGTATGGTTATACTCATAGGTTTTTCATAGATGCCTGATACAGGGCTGAAGAATTTCTCTGCTGTTCTTTATTGAGAATTTTTTATATTGGGAATGGATTCAGGTGGAGTCTGAATGCCCTGCCAGCCTCTCCTCTCCAGCTCCTGTCTCCAGCCTTAATGCCCAAATGCAGAACTTCAGGAAGGAGACCCCAGGCCCTCCTGCCTCCTCCCTAATCACCCGTGAGCTCTGCTGGGGCCGTCTTCGTGGGAGAGGGAAACCTGTGGAGTGGGCAGCTGATGGCGGCAAAAGGGCCTCCCCTCCCGGGGCCTCCACCACGGCCACCTTTCTCCTCCACTGGACACCGCCTTCCTGTAGTCGACTGTTCCTAAAATCCCTTTCTATGTGCATGTTAGTAACTCAACTACTGGCAGCTGACCTGCCTGTGTGGCCGGCCCTCGTGGTGCACTTCTGGGCCCTTGGCCTTGTGGGGAGCTCCTCCTGGGCATCGTCACTGCCTCGTCCCGTGTCCTGCACACCCTCTGCTCTTTGTGGGCAGGCGATAACCTCTGGAAACACATCTCACCTTTTGTGCCTGTCCCTTCATCATTGCTTGGACAGGGAGGTGGTGTTCTTTCCTTCCAGGCACTGCCGTGGTTACTGGGAATCCATGGGTCAGGATTCCTTGGAGGGGCCACCTTCCTTCCAGAGAGAGTAGGAAGATGCTCTGTCTCAGAGTAACGGTGTTTGCACTCTGTTTTCAGCACCTGTGACTGGTGTGGGCCTGGACAAACGTCTCCAGCCCCTCAGCCTCAGACCCTTCGTTTGACCTGGGCAATGATGGCACCTGCCACCCTGTCCTGTCATACCAGGGGCCGGCATAGGGGTCTCCTGGTTCAATCCTGGTCCAAGAAGGGTACGAAGCGACTAATTTCAGCGTGTCACCAGCCGCCAGTTCCCTGAGCCAGGTGGAGTTGCCCACCCTGCCCCCACTTGGCCCCGGCGTCAGCTCTGGCCTCGAGGGATGTCTGGGCCCTCCCCTGTGTTTCTCATTGGTGTCATCCACTGGGTCATTCCACCAGCATCTCCATGTCCAAATCCTTGGGATTCCACATTTCTAGGCCTGGCTTCTCTTCCTAAGTTCAGGATAGAAGCTACTGTGCATTACTTCACAGCACGTATCTCAACTCCCTCTGCACAAAACAAACAAGGGCTCCCTCTCCTAACCCTGCCCTCCCTCAGGGCCATGCCCGGGCATCCTGGCCTCTCCACAGCCACTCAC